TTATTCTTCATATATAATTTAAAAGCAAGCTTTTCTTTATAAAAACTTCAATTGAATTTCAATAAAGTTAAAAGCATGGCCTCATCATTAATATTTAAAAAAAAAAAAAAGATAAAGATCTAGTACTCATATTATGCCAAGTTCAGTTTACTATTTCTAATACTGTTTTTACACTTTCTGGTGAAGCAAAAAAAAAAAGTTATTCAAAGAATTAAAAATAAGATAATAAATAAAGAATATCAGTTTCAGTTTTCTACACAGATTCAGTTCTGGCAAAGTATAAGAAAAAAAAATACAAATTCAAAAAAAAAAAAAATACCAGTAGTAAAAAAGATTAATTTCTCATGCCAAGAAAAAACTTGTCATTGGTTTTCAATTATATTTTGTATTGGATACCAGTACAAAATATAATTGAAAGCCTAGTGGCAGGTTTTCCTTTGGCAACACTCATATACAATCATGTATGAGTCTAAAGGTTAATCAGATCATATTGGTATGATTAATCATGATTAATTGTATAAAATTTTAAACTGATTAAGCTTAATTGCAGTTAAATAAATAACAGTTCCAATCCCTAAATTCTATATGGTTAAATTTTCTGGTAATTTCATTTTAACAAAATTTAGACCTTTTTTTTTTATACTTATAAATATGAAAAAAAAGCTTAAAGACAATAATAAAACCATATCCACATGAGATAACATCTCAGGATGTTATTTCGAGACACTCAGTTTAGAGCTAATACCAAATGCAAAGCATAATTTTAGTTTTCTTTCAAATTATATGTCCCAAAATAATGTCCATAAGTGTTATTTCATTTAAATATTGTATAAGTATAACTCAACAAAAAAAAGTAAATGATAATAAATATATAATCTATACCCATTAAAGAATAAATATGAGTCAATAGAAATGGAACAAATGTATTAGATAAATTTGTCTCTTTTCTATTGACTTATTGATGATCATCATGTTCAGAATTTTAATTCAGATTTGGCCAGATTACATTTCCAAATTTGTGTAAACATAACACAAAAACATGATTTTCTCAAAATAATGATTTACCTGATTTGTCTCTTTTCTACTGACTCCCCTTTATATATATATTTATATATTATTATTTTTTTACTTGATATTATATAAATAAAAAAAACTATTAAATAGGTGATTAAAATAACAAAATAAATTATAAACTATGTAAAAATACTGACAAATCTATAAAATATATATATAGAAAATTAGTAGAAAAAGAAATAATTATCTTTAGTAAAATTTTTTAATACTATTAAATCAAATTTGCTAAAAGTTTTTTTATTTTAATCAAAATTATATAGAATTAAAATAAAAAAAAATTATATTTTAATCATAACTAAAAATTTACCTATAACTTTACTAATTTTAAACTTAACCAATCCAAATTATTTAAAATTAAAATACTCTTTAATAAACTACCTACTTAATACCTTTATCATAAAATCTATTCTCTAATCTTTTATGATATCAATTGCTTTTACTACAATTCTATTATATTATCATTATATTAGTGCACTTGTGCCAATTCCTCTCTGTTTGATAGCATCATTCCTAATGCAATAACTAACTGTGTAAACTCAGCCAATTTAGATTTCTCTAACAATAAAACTAAAAAACTTATTCAAAAAATTAAAAACCATTCAACTTTCAAAGAACCATCACTTCATTCATCTTTACACTACTTAGAAATTACTCTTAAAGGTCTTATTCTCTTATCTCTAATTAAAACTATTCAGAATCTAGAAGTTCTATATAAACTAGCATCAACCATTATGATTAATATTCTGCTTGAAATTAACAAACAAATCTATGAAAAATTATGGAAATCCTACTGTATTAATTTCTCAAATTGGAAAAAACAATAACAAATAACAAATACACATACTATACATCAAATTTCATCTTCCTATAGTAGAAATAATATATATACTCATTATAATTTTACATATTCTTGTTTCTGTGATCAACCTGATCAACTCCATTCATATACTGAAACCTGTTCATTTGTTGGATGGACCTTTAGAAAAATTAGTACTTGGGTTACTCTGTAGATCAAGTATCACATAACTTCTAACTTTATTTTAACTATAAATAATATTATCTAGATGAGTTTTTGACTATTCTAGTAGGTTTAGGTCACAGATAAATTAGATTTATTTAATTGTTTGAGCTTTTATTTTTGCATGTAATTTTCTTTTTATTTGTACTAGTACAAATAGTAGAAATGTATGTACTACACATATGTTACTATTTTATAAATTACTTAATAAAGATACAAGCAAGACTTCACCTTAAAAAAAAAATAAAATAAAAAAATAAAAAAATTTATTAAATTTAATAAAACAGTTAAAATATTTAAGCTTAAAGTCAAGAAAAATATTATTTAGAAAAAATTTGTTCTTTTTCTACTAACTTCTCTCTCATATAATAAAATAAATAATATAAAAAAAAGGAATTCTATTACAATTTCAATAGTATTACTTTAACCAACTTACTTATCTTTAATCTTCTAATACTAAACAATATTATTCAAAAAAATTAATACTTTCAATATAGAACATATTTTTAATTCTGATATACTCCTTTATAATATAAAAATTGCTCATATTAAATCTTGATTAACCAAATATGATATCCTAATCTATCAACTAACATGCTTATACTTATCATCGCAAAACACACTATTATACTCTAATATGTATATCACCTTTCTCAACTAGCCAAAAACAAATATTACACTCTTTAATTTTGCACAAATCTTCAACAACTCCTCAATACAACCAACTAATCTCCATTTAATATATAAAATACTTTTTCCAAACTCTTGTACTTCAAATATTAATAGTCTTAGAAACAACAAAATTTTTTATTAAAACAAATCACTAAAATGAACGAAATAATTTTTATTGTATTTACGTACACAAAACAACGCTTCATGAGAATTTGAGCATAATTATCATATGGTTACTTTCTCCATAAAAAATGCATGTTTGAATTATTCTTAACCTATTTTTTTGGATAAGATTCGCTATTCGGATTAACTCGAAAAAATAAGAATAATTAGTATAAAGTTTTATTGATTTTAAAATTTGAATTTTAGGTAAAAATTAACATTTCCAATGCTTATATAATTCTATGCATAAATAACATACATGTGTTCATTGACATTATTCTAAAGAAACCAGTCTTATAATTGATAATCTAATATACATTAAACTAAAATATATTATGATTCATTTGTACGTAAACTATTGTTATGAACAATAAAGAAAATATATACTATGAAATTCTATGATATAAATTGCATAAATAAATAGTAACAACAATCATACAAATAAATGGTAACGGGAGAACATATTTCACCGAATTAGTCCATCTAACTTAAACGCTGATTTGGTAATTTTCTTTTTGTTACTGAGTGGAGCGTTAAAAACTTTCCAGAATCGTAAAGTATTATCATCGCCACCAGCACCAGTCACAATATCTTCACCATTAGGAGATAAAGAGAAATAAAGCACACGATAATTATGCCCTTTTAAGGTCGCAATCTTTTCCATCGAAGGATATTGCCAAACTATTACATCATTTTTCCACCATCCGTGGGTTGAAACAATTTCATTTGCCGTGGGTGACCATTGCAAGTTACATACCTTGATAGAAGACTAAGGGTTAGTTGATTAGAATAAACAAATAAAAAAATAAAAACAAATAAAAAAATAAAATAAAATAAAAAAATAAAATAAAATACAAAATAAATAAAATAAAAACAAAAATACCTGCGATTTAACATTATAACTTGCTAAGCATCTTGAATCCAAAGTATTCCAGAAACGTATTTGCCGATCTAAATGACCACCTCCGCTTACTAATAAATTTCTTGAATGAGGACTCCATGAAAGAGCTCGAACAGCAGCTTTATGACCATCAAGCTTTCTGATTGGAGACAAATTCAAGCCTTCCCAGATAAATAATTCATTGGCATTACCACCACTTGCTAGTTGATTTCCTTCATTGTTCCATTTCAATCCACATATCTATTTATATAATATATTCAACCTAAATTCGAGTAATTTTATAATTCTATAATTGCTTACCTCGGATTTATGATCTGTTAAAACACGGATATTATCGTAAGGACTTCTTGGATCTCTATGGAATATGCAACGGTCGGCGCTACCGGTGGTTAGTAGGTTTCCATTCCAAGAAAGAGTTCCTAAGAACATGTAAGATATATAAGACTAGATTAAAAACGTTGAACATGATGAGTAATTTATTTACCAATTCGTGAACTATGCGAAGTGCAATCGCGGATTTTCATTAGTTTCTGAGTATCCCAGATTTGAAGTTTGCCTTCCGCTGTGCCAATTGCGAGTTGAGAACCCTTTTTTTATTTTAAATTATAAAGATGTAAATATTTTAATCAACATATTACTATCTTATTATTATCTATATATTATTTATTACCTGAGGATGCCATTTAACTGAAGAAACGGATGATAATAAGCCCAAATCGCATAATTTTGCCATCTAAAAAATGATAATAATAATAATTATAATAATAGTAATTAAATAAAAATAAAATAATAAAATCGCAAAATTGCAAACCTTGGATGTTCCAGTATTCCACAAATAAACGCAACTTTCGAGCCCCAAGCTTAAAATATTTGAAGTAGACCAATCTACCACGTTCAAATAAAAATCATCCTAAAAGCAAAAACAAAATAAATGAGAAACATTAATAAATAAATCTATATTTAAATGTATTTACCTTGAGCATCAGTTCATTGCAAAACGCGAGCATTTGATATGGCAGTGGATTAATTGTTCTGGTAGGTTTACGAGGTTTTGTCATTAAATCCTCTACTTGACGCGAAAATGGAGTTGTAGAATATACGTTTCTAAAAGGCGTATCTAAGATACCACGGCGTTTTGGCAATGACGAATGGAACTTAAGGAATTTCTGTTTCGAATTTATCGAGTAAGTGTCGATATGACTGATTATATCGTCATTGGAGTTTGGGGGTGGAAACATTGCCCTTTGGACTATAATTTTATGAAAATAATCGTCTAAAAAATCAATAAAAAAATAAATGAAAATCCATTCCAAGTTTCAATTGACATGATATAAACGAAAATATGAGTGTCTTTTTTCTTGCCTTCTGGTTCTTCTCGCTTCCGCTTTTGTGATTTTTCTTCTGTAGACGTTGCTGCTCGTCTTTGAAACTCGGATATCATATCACCGGTTCTAATAGGAATGAATCTATAATACAATATATTATACATTATTAGGTTCAAGCATGTTTAAAGGTTCTAAAATCAGGTGTCAATTATTTTCACAACTTTATGTATTTCGAAATTTTACCTATCTCCATACGATCCTTCATTATTATCCTTTGTATTATTACTATTTTCGTTTGCCCCCCAAGATGTCATACTAGTTGATGAGCAACCTGAAGTGAATATAGGTAACGACTTTCCCGAAAGTGAAAAGTTCGTAGAAGTTTCAGCTGAGGGCATGCTAGTTGAAAAGTTGGGGAATAATTTGTGTGATTTATTTTCAAGAGACATTTTTTTGTATACTGTAAAGATAAATTTTAGAACAATGTTTATAGAACGAATGCAAATATTATTTATAGCTAAATGAAATTTTGAAGAATTTCTGACAGAATGTAAGAGAATTTTTGTCCGATTAAAAACAATTGTTTTTGTTGACAAATAAACTCTTTGTTTTGATATAGTCTGAGTGTTCGATTCATTGAATTTAATAATTGAGTCTGAAATAAGCTGTCAAATAACAAAATGTGCATTTTGAGTCTTAAATTAAACTTTAATGTTTTTACATTTAGTGTGCAAAATTTGGTGTGAATTTTGTCGGAGAAAGATTTTTTTTAAAAATCAAACATGAAGATTACGTAAATATACATAATTAACTTTCAAGCATTTTATGCGGACATTGATTCATCATGAATAAAAAATAATAATAATGTATAATATTTTGTCATTTGACGTATATATCCTTATTTACTATTTCTTTTTTTCTATTTCCATCAATTCAGTTTGCATGTTGATTTCTAAGTCCATGACTTGCGCAACGATCTTTCCGTTTTCAAATCCATCACCATGTGTAATTTCTAACACTTTCTTCGTTGCTTTTACTATTTCATATGATTCAACAACTTTGTCTTTATCTTTGCAAGTATCATTCCACATACACTTTGCCAAACTAAATAAATGCAATCCAATAATTGGATGAAATCTTGGATATATCAAAAGATAAATAGCGAGAATATAACGACCTAAAGTCCATGATTCTCGCCACTGTTGTAAATCAATACGATCATAAAAATGTCTTGTGACTAGAGAAAGAGATGACGTAGTAAAAAGATCTGGACGTGTGATGGTTGCGTGCATGTCATTTAAAAGTACTTCCAAGGTCTTTATGTAATCAGATTTTGAAGTTTCTCCTGTTAAATGCGGCAAAAGTGCGATAATAATGCGTGAAGTAAAAGAAGAAATTGAATCTTTTATCATGTTCTGTTGCATTTGAGAACTCAGCAAATTTTCTACGATTTCTTCTTGCTCTTTTTCATTATCTCTTATCTCAGTTAATTGCTCGATCTTTACTAATATACTTCTTTCTTCTTCTGTTATATCTATACTAATATCGTCTGAACTACATCTTGGGCATTGACAATTAAAAAAATACTTTTCCCTCAATAATCTTTGTCTGGATGTTCGGCTCATTGCGGCATCAACATAAGATATTGTTATCTCTTCACCAGCCTTTATGTTTTCAATGCTTCTAAGTATCTGTGGTCCATTATTTGCTTGTTGTCCGATTGAATACATCACTATAGCATTCGGACGACAAGAATGGTTGATTAAAGATCCAATAGGGTAACTGCAAATGAATAAATCAAATAAAAGGGAGTAAATTAAAGAAAATCATCTCCCTGATTTTATGAAAAATTAATAGGAATATAAAAAGCAAACAAAGGATACGTTCCTTCGCCAAGATTAAATAATTGACTATCATCCACGTTGAAATTATTACAAGAAAATCTACATAAATATGTTATCAATTCATCTTGAGTGATATTTTGTAAGTCCAAATCAGAAAAAACATTCCTTGCAATAGTTTTAAATTTTTCTAATTGTTCTGATGTATGTTTTTCACGGTGTGACATCAATGTCAAAAATGTCTCACAGTTTATCTTTTCGCTTAAATCCGTTGCTGATACTTTTTCGGACTCATAGTATGATTTTTTTTTTAAATATCTATCTATTTTCAATGCTACTCGTCTTAACATTTCTTCGTCCATGTAATCACCATCCAAAGCTTTATTCCCTTCCTTTTTATATAAAGGACATAAAATTTTGTGATGCGCTGACCATGCGAGTTTTTGACATTTTACGTTACAATAGACTGTTTTACGGCACCTAGAACACGTTTTTAGTGGTTCGATTGGAATTTCCAAGCAATTATTACAATGGGTATTGACCATGGATGGAATTGGAAAGCATGCAAGCGATGGATATGTAATTATGGTTGAGCCTCTAGGAATATGTTTAAGCGTACTAAGAGTACGGTGTTTCGTGGGGCTTTCCTGGAGGGTTAGCCCGTGAAGTGAAAGAAATTCTGATACGCATTGCATGCTTGAAAATTACCTAACGATTGAATTGCTGATAATTTATAGTTATCGTTATTGTATGGTGACACGAATCCACGGGAATATTTCGTATTGGTATAGTTACAACTTCACTGTACCCTAAACTTTTATTATATACTAATCGGTCTAAATTAGGGTCTGCATAAGCCTATGCCTGTGCCTATAGGCACAGAAATGCACCATTAAAGGCATGGGCACAAAGTACCAGGCACTACGTAGTAAAGGCACAAGCGCCGGGCTCAAGTGTCAGGCACAATTCAATAGCAAATACCAAATTTTTGTGCCTGTGCCCATGCCAAGTTTTTATGTCCGTACCCATGTTCATGCCCATGCGAGATTGCCTATCGCTATGCTCATGCCCGAGTTTTCACAGGCACGAGCCCGGCTTGCACCTAGTCTGAATCCGACGTTACTTCAATTGTGAGATACTAATTTGTTTTAGTACATTATTAATTTTGTGTGTTATTTTTGTATTGATATTAAAAGATTTTTGATATCACAAGTTAATATCATATTTAAAAAAAATTCAAAATTCGAATTAGTTGGGGTTAGGTTCGATCTAGTATTAGGGTTAGAATTAGATGGCATTTATATGTGCAAAATTAAAAGCTAAATACTTTTAATTAGAAGCCCAAGACTAGTTTACTTTTTTTTTTAAAAAAAAGAGAGGTCTATCCTCTATCTCTTTATCAATTAGTCAATTTACATATATAAGATACATGTTGAAAAAAATAAGTTAGAAGAGATGGGTGTAAGAGTTACTTTATTCTTGACCTATAATGGTTGGTAAACCTCTAATCTATGATAAGATGATTAAAGAAAGATTGTTCATGAGTGATATAATGATAGATTTTTTCATTTAATAAAGAAGGTAAAATTAGTTTAGTTTTGATCAGTATTGGAGGTTAAATTGGATGAAAATATTCATATTGTATCATTCTAAAAGAGAATCAGAGTTCTTTATATATTGTAGAGATAATGTTGTGATGAATAAGAAAGATATATTTATATTTGTGTTTGTTATTTTCGAATGGTGTTAAGGTATTGTTAGTTATTAGACCTAATGATATTTGCTTGTTAATGTGGTTCAAAATAAAGGCTCAGATAAAATTATTTATATCATATCAAGATATTTCAAGACTGTTTGTTGTCTTATATACAACCCATGTTATTAATGTTGTAAAACATAAATGATTTCTAATGCAATCTAGAAGATATATAATGGTTTCAGAAGCATTATAATATCTTAAATAAAGAAAATTTGAATATTTTGTAGCATTCTTCTAATAAAAAAAAAGGTACATAGGTAGTTTTTCAGATAGTAATTTGATTTTAAAGTTTTTTTAGTACTTAAGATGAAGGATCAGTTACTAGAATCAAGAGTTTTTCTCTATATTATATGTATTGTAAAGATAGTGTTTAGTTGATATTGTTTTGTGGATTGTGCCAGTAAGAAATTTGCTGTTAAAAGAACTAGGCTAGTCTATTTGTAATTTGATATATTTGTTTTATTGTAGTTTTTAACAAGTATGTGCAAAGATTACCAAAAAGTTTTGGAACAAATCAGTTATATAAAAATTTTTATAATTTAAAATCTAACAGAAAAATGTTGATTTGAGTTTTTTGGACCTGAAGTTCTTTATCAAGAGTGATTGTAATTATATAATTATATATTATTGCTTTTAGTACTAGAAGAAGGTAAGTATATTGTTGCTTATCAAGTGTAGAATAATTGTGTAGTTGAATAAACTATACAAAGTTAATAATATCAACAAATAAAGAATTATTGATATATATTTTTATATTGGTATAAAGATTCATTAAGATTAGCATAAATATTAACAAGGTTAATAAAGTATTTAAATAAGAGGATCAGAGATTGGTAAAACAACTAAAGATAATATAAAAGTGTTGAAATTAACATTTTGTCACTATGTAAAAATTATTTTCTATATTTTGTTAACCACTTGTTATATGAAGTGTTATAATTTTTTTATTGAAATTAGTCTTTGTTAAGGTGTTCTAAAGTAGTATCAGAGGATCAGTAAAGGGCAGAAAAATCTAAGATTGAATGTATTTTTTGGTTAGATAATTGATGTGTTGCAATTAGCATTAAGATTAGTGCTTTTTTAAAATCATTTAGATCAATATGAATCTTCTTTTTTCAATCTACTTGAAAATTATAAATTGGTTTTGTTGCATTAAAATAACAGTACTTAGATGAGTAAATTATATTTTTAAGTATATATTCTTGACAAGCTATTAGTATATTATTAGAATATAAAATATAATATTAAGTTTTTAGGTTTTTGTTAAAAGGATTATAAATTCTTTCAAAAATTATATCTTTAGTAATTATTTAACTCTTTTTGTTAGGTGTCTAGTTGGTTAAAGTATATAGATTTAGTTGAAAAAAAGTTAAAAATAGATTTGTAGATGCAGTTATTAGGTCTTATATTAAGCAAATCTAATGAGGACATTGATCTCAAGATATTTTTTTAATATTATAATGAAAATTATTCTATATTAAAAGTTATATATTGGTTGTATTCAAAAATTGTTTAACACTCATAATATTGTAGTTGTTTAGTTTCTCTTTAAGATATGAAGTTCTGGAATAATTTAGAAGACTTTGATTTATAAATGTATTTGAAAATTTCTTTAAATATGACCAGTTATTACTGTTATATAAAGTTTGCATTTTCAATACATGTAGTACTATTATTATCTAATATGTTTGTATATTTATTTATATTAATAAAAATACTAAAAGTTGTATTAAAATTGAAGTGCTTGTAAGTACTATATCTTATAATTATTGTAATCATAATTTTAGAAAAAAGAAATCAAAATTGGAATAGTTTAGAGTTTTTTGAAATGTTGAGACTAGTGTTGAAGTTTGTGCCTAGGCTAAATCTATCAGTAGATAGATATCTAGATTGAATAAGAAAAAATTTAGAATTTTTTGTACTAGTTTTGTTTTATATTTTACTAGTTAAATACATGCTCTGTTAAGAGAGTTTATTTGTGAAAAGAAGAGAATAAAGAGTATAGCTAATAGGTAAAATTTAAAGTAATGACACTGTTTATAATATAAATTATTTGTTTCTTTATTATATTAGTAAATTGTAGTTTTTTTAGATTAATTTTGGCTTTAGTTATTATTACTTTTTGTACTAGTGTTGGCTTTTTGTTAGTTAAGAATTATGCTTCTAAATATTTAAAAGGTGTTCTGTTATTTATTGCAACTAGTTATTCATTGTTGAAAAGTATAAAGCTATTTAAATTTAAAAAGTTTATAATTAAAGTAAATTTAAAAAAATTGACTCTTATATTAGCAAACTTGTAAAAAGAGAAAATAGTATGTAGAATGTTTATAAAAGATATTTTGTTTAGTATAATTTATAATAAGTTATTCATATATGCTATTACAGAAGTATATATTTTTTTTATATTTGAGTGAAAAATTCTATTAAGAAATCCTTGTTATTCTTTATATATTTTTGATATTAGTAGGTCATAGTATATCTTTCAAAAAAGAAGAGAAATTAGCTCTTCTTGATTAATACTATCTTCTACTAAGTATGATGCAGTTAGGTCTAAGATAGTGATTACCTTGTTGGTTCAGTATGAGAGTAAGTATAATAACAGGTTTATAGTCTTATCTGAAATATGAATTCTTTTGAGAACTTTGTATAAGATAAGTATATAAATTGAATCAAAAGCTTTTAACATGTTTTGAGAGAGAATCCAGATTTTCTTATTGTTTATAGTTGTAACTTCAAGGATTTGAATAATTTGTAAGATTGGTTGTAATGTAGATTAATGTAAAAAGGCTGCAAAATTATAAGGTAATAGTACTTGGTTGCAAGTTAAAATGTTTGTTAGTTAAGTTGTTATAATTTTTATAAAAATTTTTCTTGTATAGTCAATTAGTATAATAGGATGAGTAAAGTTAAGTCCATAGTTGTAATATGTTTTTTTGAAATTATCTAGATATTGGCTTGTAATCACTGATAAAAATTAATTTTTTGTATTATGCAGTTGTTAAATATTTTTAGAAAAAAAGAAAGTGCCGATAAGAGTAGATGTTGAAGAACTTCATTTACAATTCCTAAAGATTTAGTTGCTTTTCCTTTGGGTATTATTTTTATTAATTTTTTGAGTTCTGTTATTGTAATAAGAGATAAAAAATTGTTATATATATTGCTTTAAATATTGTTAAATAAAAAATAAGTTGTTTTTTATTTCTTTTAATTTTTCTTATTAAGAGGTTACTTTTGGTTTAATCTTTGAAATATAGATATGTTGCCTTCTTAATTTTATTTTTTTCTGTAATTATTTTATTAAATAGAATAATTTTTTCAAAACTAATTGATTCTGTTCTTCTTTTTAGTATACTGTCTAGCATATGACTAGTATTGTCTTTTTTTTTTTTTTGTTAAAGTTTATACTTTGTAACAAAACTTTATTGACTTTTATTGGAGTTAATTATTATACTATTTTATGCAAAGATGAGAGTACAACTAGTTATATGTACAACTTTTGGTTGCTTATTTAAGTAGTCCATTTTAGAGTTCTATACTAGATGCTATATCTATAACCTACTAAAAGATTATTCATTTAAACCCTCTAATTATCTGCTCTGTTATGATGTAATATCCACTAACCTCTATATATACCTAACTGATATACTATCTGAACAGTATGGTACCTATCCTTTTTGTAGTAATTCCCAGACCATTATATATTTTAGAGAATAACACCTGCCAGTAAGATACAGAAGGCCTCTCTTGTTAACTATCTACCTATTTTACAAACTATTAACAAGGGCTACTCTTGCAGAGTTCATCCAAACTCCAGTACTAACTTTATAGCATATTTCTAGTATTTTTAGTATACATCTGCTTTTGTCTTTAAACTTTTAATCCAGATAGTCTAAAAGGACTATAACCTGTTTTTGGTATATCAAGGCTGACCTGATA